CCCCAAAACCCCAAAACCCCAAAACCCCATCTTACTAAATTAAGTGATGTAATTGATAAAACTCATCACGTAATTATTAGCTTTAATATTTTACAGAAATGGAAAAATAGCCAGAAAAAATGTACTCTAAATAACCAGAGATTATGAGAGCTTATTAAAGAGATGAGGAATATAAATAGATGTTAAGATTTTTAATCATAGAAGCACTTGAGACAATGATACATTATAGAACTTTATCGAAATTTGATTCTGAAATAAGAATGGGATCAGACTTACTATATTATCTTCTCACTTCTATGAGAGGCAAACAAACTTTAGGAGAAGAGTATTGCTCAATAATACCAGTTTTTAAGAAAAGTATGCAGTTTCCTTCAAAGATCAGAAGAACTATCTATATTCTATTAAAAGTACTAGGTCCTTACTTTATGAATAGGCTGCTCAAATCACTTGAACAGAGATTAAATGAAGTTATTTCTAGGTAAAATGACACATTTAAGGAATTAAATTCTCAGGATAAGTCATTTAAAACCATTCTTATAAATAATCTAATGAATCTCTTACCAAGCGCATATAATGCTTTTGTAATGCAATTTAATTAGCTATATTTGGCATTGTTCTTTATTTGGGGGAAATACTATGATCTTACTAAACAAGTAATGAGTATAAGGTTTAAATATGTACCAGGCTAAGAGGCAGAACATTAGATTAGTTATATGAATCCTGGCAGATTAATAATGCTTCAATTTGTGATTTAAGGAATTTCATTTTTTATCAAAATTGCTAAAACAATTCATTAGAGCCATAAGACTCATCTTAAACAGCAATAAAAACTAAAAGCAAATTAGTGGAACTAGCCCATTGATTACAATCCTTAAGAAGATGATTTATAGAATATTGATGATAATCAAATAAATGGAAAAAATGTTGTTGGAGAAGTTGATTAAGAAAATGAAGCTGATTAGTGTAGCTTGTGTTATGGTACCAGAATTAATACAACTGCTACAATATGTGGTCATTTATTTTGCTGGGATTGCATTCATACTTCTTTAAAGATCAAATAGGAGTGTCCACAGTGTAGAGAATAATGCCCACCATAAAAGTTAGTATTAGTATATAATTTGTGAAAATAACTTGTTACTCTAACTAAATATTCTTCAATATTATTTTGATTGAGGGGTTTTGGGGTTTTGGGGTTTTGGGGTTTTGGGGTTTTGGGGTTTT